ATAACCATCACAATATTACGGTGTCCGAGAAGGATCACAACACAATACAAACGCCACAACTATGTGTTGTGACATATATGTGTTTTCTGAATATGTAGTTGTTGTGGCGTTTGTATGTGTTGTGACCCTTCTCGGCCACCGTACAATATGTTCTACAAGAAAACATCATTCGTAGATGTTATAAGTACACAGATTGGTGTTTTTTTAAATACTTTTAATTTTTATTAGAATTTATTATGTCAACAACAATAAAACAAAAAGGGAAAAAATAAAATAAAATAAATAACATACATTGAACAAAATCAGAGGAGGTCCCTAGTGCAATTGAAACAAAAAATAAGTGTAGTTGTACTCATCGGATTCACTGATCAATAAACCTTACATTTACAATACTTCTACCATCTTTTGCATATTTACCAGAAACCCAATCACACAAACTTAACATACAGTATACAGTTGTATTGGGAAGAACAGTTATGCAGATTATAGGGCCATTTTCTCAAATTTCCTTTAAATGCCGATTCAGATACAGAAATGATCAACTAAATGCTGTGAAAATCATCCGCTAATGTCTTTTGCAGACATATAATTGTGCTCAGTTAACACACACCGTACAGAATCTGTAAAATGTTCATTATTTTAGCCATAATGAGAGGGATCATTCAATACATGCCGTCCTGAATGAGATATTTGACATAAAAGATGTTTACATATAGTCCACAAGACAAAAAAACAACAACAAAAAACGGCTGAATTTATAAAAACGAGCCCGTTTAAAGTTTATAAACCCTTGATTCCTAATATTGTGCGTCATTACCTGGATGATCCAGGCGTTTTTATTTTTTGGTTTTGTTGTTTTTGCAGTTAAACTGGCCAATGTTCTTAAGAAAAATGCTCCAGGTCTCAAAGATTCTTTGGTTTTCCAGCATTTTTTGCATGTTTGAACCCTTTCCAGCGTGGACTGTGAGATTTTCAGATCCATCCTTTCACACTGAGGACAATTAAGGGACTCAAACACAACTATTGAAGAAGGTTCAAACATTCACTGATGCATTACCACAATGCGTTAAGAGCCGCGGGGTGGAAGAACAGCCATCACAGAACAAACACTCGTGGATCATCAGGTAAACAACACACTGTATTAACAATCAAAGGTTCATACATTTATTGTTCATAAATTAGCAATTTCTTGTCCTATTAAAACACCTTATTCAGGTAAGTACTAAATTAAAAACATGCATTGTATGATGCCTCATATTTTTTTTTTTTTGTAAATAATGAACATTTTGCAGATTCTGCAACTTTTGAGCATGACTGTAATTCATGCATGTGAATAACTAGGTTGCACAGTCAACTTGCTATCGAGTGTCTCGTCGGATTTGCCCCGTTCCAATATGACTTACAACAGCAGCAGCAGCACATAGAAACACACACTAATGAGGCATCTATGTAGCCTATATATATCTATGACCAAATAACATCGCTCTGAAATACCCAGAGACCAAATAACATCAGCCTGGCAAACATCCACAACACGTGAGCACATGTTCTGTTCAGTGCTGGGCTTGGTCTGGTACACTAAAGGACAGTGTGTGTAAGGCTGTGAATAAGCTTCAGCTCTGCGCTGATGAATGAGACTGGACGCTGGAGTCACTATATGAAGGTCAGTAGGTCAGTGAAACACAACCGGATCAAGTCTCTGTCCTCAAAGAGCCGCTGAACAGAGAGATCAGATCAACAGCACAAATACACGAGACTGACTATACAGGCTTTACATGATACGTGCTTTTCTATGTGCTCAGAAACAACGACCTAGAAGCTCATGTACCAACGATTTATAGCAATTTAGCAACATTAATTCTTGGGGAAGTGTCCTTGTTACACGTTACATTAGTTACTGCGGTAATAACTTTAAATGATGCTTTTACTACACAGTGGTATGAATAAGTTTTGGCACCCATGCTAAAGGAATAAAAAAATCATCTTTTGGATATTGATCTTAATGCCTTAATTAGAAAAATGAGGAAAATTCCAACCTTTAAGGACACCAATTTTCTTTGTGAATGAATAATGTATCATAAATAAATAAATGTTTTTCCTTAAAATACAGGGTGCATAAGTCAGGACACCCCTATGTTAAATTCCCATAGAGTCAGGCAAATTTTTATTTTTAAAAGCCAGTTATTTCATGGATCCAGGATAATATGCATCCTGATAAAGTTCCCTTGGCCTTTGGGATTAAAATAGACCCACATCATCATCACACACCTTCCACCACACCGAGAGATTGGCATGGGGTACTTTCCATAAGATCATCTTTCAATGCAAATCAAACCAGCTATTAGGCTAACTGAAATAAAACCATGCCAATCTCTAGATGTGGTGGAAGGTGTGTGATGATGTGGGGATATTTTAATCCCAAAGGCCAAGGGAACTTTATCAGGATGCATATTATCCTGGATCCATGAAATAACTGGCTTTTAAAAATAAAAATCTGCCTGACTCTATGGGAATTTAACATAGGGGTGCCCTGACTTATGCACCCTGTATTTTAAGGAAAAACATTTATTTATATATGATACATTATTCATTCACAAAGAAAATTGGTGTCCTTAAAGGTTGGAGTTTTCCTCATTTTTCTAATTGAGGCATTAAGATCAATATCCAAAAGATGTTTTTTTATTCCTCTTTTTAGGCAACTTAAGCATGGGGGTCAAAACTTATTCATACCACTGTATGTTGAATGCTTGATTCTGATTGGTTGACAAACGTTTTCAGAGAAACATGGCTAAAGTAGTTCCAGGCTGGTTTTGACAGTTCAATATCACATCACCAAATGATTTGAGATATTTCAAAGGTCCATACAGAACCAACTCTCTCTCTCTCTCTTATATTGGTTTGCTATCCGCTCAAGCATCCATTACTCGCTCTAAAATTACATTTTGGTATTAGCAATGGAGGCTTGGGGTGAGATGCGTAAGAAATTAGTCCCACACACAAGAGCATTTTAAGGATAAAAACCTTTTACTGTCTATGAAAAAAACCCCTGACAAACACGTTGAAACACATAATCTAAACGATGTTTTTAGGCTATAAGAGGGAAAATTGGCTCTGGGCTGTTTAACGATAGGAAAACTACCGCATTAATACCTCAGGTGTGCATTCTTTTTCTAATTCAATGGCATATGTTGTCAATTATTCCTTACATAATTGCCTGCAACTAACCCTAAACCAAACCCTATAAATACATGTAGTTAATTATTATTATTATTTATAAAACGGTTAGTTTCAATCCTTAATTCTGATTCTGATATTCACGATAAAACACGGCCGTGACCGTTTCGCCCAGCGGTTCTCATTACACATCACCCCTAGCAACCACTCTTAGCAACTAAACACATTCCAGACAGCAAACTGACATTGAATCAACGTGGAAACGACGTCTCTCATGACATTGAAACAACGTTGATTTTGCTCATCGAATTAACGTTGAACCAACGTCAGACGCGGCATTCTTCAAAGCTAAATGAAAAACGAAAATTGGTTTGCTTTCATAACGTTGAAACAACGCGTTGATTTCAAGTTGATTTTCTGTTAGTTTTGAAAGAATGACGCGTCTGACGTTGGTTCAACGTTAATTCGATGAGCAAAACAATGTCAGATCAACGTTGTTTCTATGTCATATTTCCACGTTGATTCAATGTCAGTTTGCTATCTGGGATCTGATCCGAGATCGAGTTAGCGAGTGTACAATTACAGTAGCATTTTCCTTCAGGTCAGCCCTATAATAAAAAAAATCCGTTTGAATGTCCGCTGCGATGTCTTGTCCTTTTAACAGATAGCTAAGGGATTTCCCCGCGTGCGGTCATCAGTTGCGTCGATCTTTGTTCTCCGTGATCACAAAGTTTGAGTCCTTTCAATGTAAAAGTCATCTCTGCTGACTGACTTACTCATAAAGACAGTCTTTGCCGCCATCTATTGGGGAAATAATGTTATGTGTTGCTGTTTACGGTCAGGGACTATTTTTTTCAGCGGAAGGAAGACTCCGCTCGTGACAATCAACGCCCTTCAAACAATACTCATAAATGTTTCTTGAGTATTTCACAGCAGCCCAGCTGTTTTAAATTGTAATAATATTTAATATTTTTACTGAATTTACTGTATCAAATAAATGCAGCCTTTATGAGCAGAAGAGGCAAAAAATGTGGATCCATCTAAAACATTATATAATACAACTTTCCTGTGAAGAAATAAAAAATGAGAAACACGACCTGTAGGTCTACTTTTAACCGAACTTATCACTACGACCGAAACACTTCCCAGTGTTAAAAAAAAAAAAAAAAAAAATCAATGTTAATTTCTGGAACAAGAAGTTCCGATTTGCAAAGCAAGAGAAAAATGTGCCGTTCCCGCACAACAGCGGAGGAAGGTGACTTCCAGAAAAGCAAAAGGTCTTAGAAAGGGTTTCTGTTGGGGAGAGGAAATACTAAAATT